AAGAAGGTAGAAAGGTAGAAGAAAAAGTTGAGTTTTGCTCTCTTGTAAACATTTTTCCTGGAGAACTGATTGCTATGGAATTAACTGGCCCTGGGACCAAAAGAACTAAGCAAGTGACCACTTAACACAGTATCAAGCATGCCAAGGTTGAACTACCTTACGCCAGTCAGGGGAGAGTGATAAAGCAACAGCCTGAGGATCATTGTCAAGGAACATTCGATAATTTCTATTTTCCAAACCTCAGTGGAAATGGAGCCTTTCTAACTGATTCTCAGTTTTGAAACTCCTACCCTGATGTGAATTTCATCTAGTGAGAAGTTTCTAGAGATTGCCACAGAGCCCAAGTGAATGGACACCTGTTTAGCGTGAGGCAAGAGAATATTCTCTATTCCTAATTTCATCAAGAGATCTTGGTTTTAAAATCAAATACGGCAGAAGAACCAGCCAAAGGTTAACTAAGTGAGCTTCCATTTATTGGCATCAACCTATATTACTTATAAATTATAATTTATAAGCCTTTGGGCCAACATGCGCATGCGCGCGCACACACGCATGCTCACATCCACACACAATACCTCCTACATTCTCCATCTCAACAGCTTAAATAGTAAAAACTGTCATTTTTACTAATGGAATAGCTAAATGTGTATTCAAAAGAACAAGATATCTTAAAAATATATGCTTGTTAGTTTGTAAATTTGAGAAACTCATCGTTGTTTTTGACGCAATTCGTGATTCAAGTATGAATTTCTCTTTCTTTGCTACCTAGCATCTCACCACCCCCATCCTTCCAATTACTTTTAGAAACAAACTTTGATTGTTTTGAGGAAATATTTCCAAAAGCTTTAGTTTTTGTGCATTTCTTTCTGTTTCTAACATAATTGAAAAAACTGGATTGGAAGTTATTTCAAATAGCCATTCCTACAGTGGTTCTGCATTTCGGCTTTTTGGGATGTGAATGGATATAGAAGTTACATGACGTTTCTTAAGTCCTAAAATGGCAGTTTACAAGCTAGTATCACATCTACCCTCTAAGAGGAATTGCTTCAAGACAGTGAATTAGTTTATTGCTGCTGCTCGCACCGAACAGCTTCTATTGCCTTGATGAATTTCTAAGGACTATATAAACAAAGAAGTTCTTACAGTTCCTCCTTAGATTTACTTGAAGTCAGTATCCCTCTGTTGCCTGGTAAAAAAGTGCTAAGATTTTTTATTTGGAAGGGGAAGTATGATAATGCCTTTAGTTGTAGCAGGAAGCTGTAGCCTTGTTATCATAAATATGAAGTATAAATTCTACAAAATTACAACTCAAATTATATACATCTATATTGTCAATAAACAATTATATTTCACCTACTTAACTCTTATCCAGGTTATAGTTTTTTTGTTCATTAGATTGAATTGTTTCCTGAAAAATAACCAAACTCCAATTTTAACTACATCTATGCTGAGAATAGGCTTTCAGGTATGCAATGTTCTTTTTTAAAAGTAAAATACAGTCCACTATTAATTGAACTTCCATGAAGCAACATTAATTTTGGAACGTGATTACTGTTAATCAGTAGCTCACTGTGACTTGCTTTTCCAATGTATATCTTAGTGCTTAGTGAAGATGTACTATGTCATCTTTCAGATAACCATGTGGCATTTGTGGGACTATATTAAAAATGTATTCAGACACTACCAAGCTATCTCAAGGCTAAGGTAGTAGCTGCATGTGAAAAATTGAAAAACTGAGGTAAATCTTATTTTAAAGTCATAACTAAAACTCTTCTAGACCAAAATACTATTGGAATGCTCAATCAGCTGTTTTTGGTGTGGCATATTGGGAGGTGGCCTGTTTCTGTCTAGAGAATCCTCACTCACATTATAGTTTGCATGACTGGTAACTGGGACACGTTGTTCCTTTGCGTGTATGCTGGCTCAGTATGCTGTGTCAGGGTGATACATGAGCAACTAGACCCATGTGGCCTTTCTAATTACCCGCTGGAGGATGTGACCTCTGCAGCTCTGCCTAGCTTTGTCTGTTTATGTATACTCTCTATGCTTTAGCAGTTCACCAGCAATATGGTGAAGTCTTGCTGACCAGCTTAACCATTAGTCAGCTTTTTAGAGTCCTTTATATTTTAGGTGAATTTTGACCAAAGCCAGTTAAAGACATAAACCTACTTTATATCCTGGAATGAATTGAAACAAATTGGATAAAAGATGAAGTTTATGACCAGAAAAAAAGCATCTTTATTCCAACTGTGCACCTAAAGTGTTCCAGGTTCTAGAAATACTATCTGTAGGACAGGGCAAAAACAGGTCTGAAGTTTATCTAAAATATATCTGCCTATTACTATTGTTATTTCATAATTTTTCTTTCTTGAAACTCTTTTCAGAAATGCTTGACACTCCAGTAAAATAATATTTCCCTTTGGTAGATTAAAATATTTACACTTGAGCCACACTCAAAATGTTGCCCCTCCCAACACATGCACACATGCACACATGGATACTTTTTATATATGAAGAGAAATTTCCATCTATGGTGTGTTCTCAGTGCTAGGATAAAAGAAGCTTTTGCTGTGTTCCTACAGTAACTCTCGTTTTGTTTAAAAAGCTCAACAAAATAGATTCTTCGCACTGATTTGTGTGTCTGCACATAATTTCCATTAAAAAGAGGATAGGGAGAAAATGCATTTTGCACAAACTGTAGACAAAAGAAATTATTTCAAAACTCCTGTCAGAGCTCAAATATTAATATCAGACCATCTAACTAAAAGACAAACTTTCTATTTTCAGTTCTTTCTACTTCCTGATTTTTTTTTTTTTATCATTTCAGAGTTTTACAGCACTATTCTTATAGAATAATGAGACCAAGAATAGGAAATGACACTTAAATTTTACCATTTACCACCCATTAGCACTCTTATTGGTCAAGTTTCAACCAGTTATGACTTGCTGAAATGAGGTTGGAGGTTACCTGTATATTTCATTCACCTGTGTTTATACTTTCCTTCATCGTGGACAATTGAGAGTTGGCTGTAATTTTATTTCTTAATGGAAATATTTTCATATTCATGTTTTGGAGGGCCAGTATTGCTTAGGTTCATAAATACTGTTCTTAAAGACACAGATGATATGTGAGCCACACAGACACCTGGCCTTTTTGGGAAGTGAGCATGACTTACATCTGTCTAGTGGTCCATACTCCTCATAAAAATGAAGT